TGGGTCCAAAGCTTCTCCCTCTACGAAACATTAGCTCATGGTAGAACATTAGATCATGGCTTCACACACACAAACTAACCCACAGCACTTGCTGACGCCCACTGAGGAGCTGCTAGCACTAGCAGCTCCTCAGTGTCTCATTTCACTGTCATCAGCCACGGTGAGGAGCTGGCACTGTTACCCCAAAGTCACTGGGGGACACAGGGGCCACGGCTCACGAGGTGGAGCCCACAGCCCTGAAGGGAGCTTGTGCTTCAGGCACAGCACTGCCTCCTGGAGGGAATCCGATGACAGAGCTTCAGGACAGGATGGCTGGGGCGTCATCCACCTGCCTTTGGGAGCTTCAGGCAAACCGACAAACTATTTTGTTGTTCCCACTCCTCTGACTTGGCTCCAAATCTTTTTTGGATGTCTCCCAGCCACGGTGGCCTTCAGGAGGCAGAAAGGTCTGCACCCTGAGACTGTTGCCTCTTTATTTCCTGTTTCAGTTACGGAAGGCACAGCTGGAGGGAGCAGGACCGAGGGCTCCCCACAGATGGTGGGCAGCTTCCCTGGGCCCTCAGAAGCCCATTCGGGGCTTCTTCCGATGTGGCTGAGAGAGGGCAGGCCCCTGCTGCCTGGAGGGGGTGGCTCGGAGGCTGGAGGTCTGGGAAGAGGGCACAGCGGCATGTCCCAGGGTGTCGCTTTGGAGTGAGAGCTTGGCAGTGCAGTCCCGGAGGGCCCGCTGCGTGGAGGGGGTGGCCCGGAAGCTGGAGGTCTGGGAAGAAGACACAAAAGCATCTCCCGGGGTGTCACTTTGGAGTGAGAGCTTGGCAGTGAAGTCCCGGAGGGTCCGCTGCCTGGAGGGGGTGGCTCGGATGCTAGAGGTCTGGGAGGGGGATGCAGAGGCATTTCCTGGGGTGTCCCCTTGAAGTGGTAGCTTGGCCATATAGTCCCGGAGGGTCTGCTGCCGCTCTGAGGGGACGCACTGGGCCCACTGCTCCTGGGTCAACTCCTGGGAGGGCGGGGTCACTGGGGGCCGAGGCCTGGACACAACAGATGTCCCGTCTGGGCTGTGAGGGGGGCTGGTGGCATCTGAGAGGTCCAGGTGGCCGCTGAGAGAGGAAAAGGTACTGGATAGCTGCATCCGGCGCTTGTGCCGCTTGGGCTGCTTCCTGGGCCCCGAGCTCCTGCTCTGCCGCTGCTCCCACCAGGCAGCCACCGGGCCTTCCCAGGCTGCCTCCAACCGCTCACTGAGCTCGTCCTCGGGGCCTGGCTCAGGGGCAGGAGGTGGCTCTGCCATGAGGAGCGAGCCTAGGTCCCTCTGCTGCACTAGCTGCCCTTTGGCCATGGCTGCCCGGAGGCCCTCTGGCACTTTCCCCTCAACCTTCTGCTGCTCCTTGAAGCCCAGCAGACGGCGGTGGGAAAAAGTGGGTGCGGCCCACACAGGGGGAGTCGGGGGCACCTCCAGCAGGGCTTTCAGCCACCTGCGGCAGCAAGCAGTGGCCTGGGGGCTCCAGGAAGCTGTGGGGGCATGCGAGTTGGGCCCAGGATCACCAGGGGGCCCGGAATCTTCCTGGAGGTGGAGGTGCTGGTGGAAGACATCCCCAGCTGCTGAGAGCTGGAAAAGCGACAGGACTGGTGTGGAGGCAGAGGGTGGGATGGTGGCGGCCAGACCTGGAGACGGGAAGAACAGTGACCCCCAAGGCCTAGTGGAGGTGCAGTCCCCCAAACTCACTCCCTCACCCAAGCACACCTATGGTTGGTGCTTGCAGACGCTCCTGCAGCCGCCACTGACTCTTGGGCTCTAGCAGGGGGAATGCGGAGAGGCAGTTGCTCCTGGAAGGGAGAGACTGGGGGGGCCCTGCCAGCCGGGGCATGGAAGCCCCCTCCCCTGGAGGAAAGACAGACAGCTCAGACCCTGTCCAGGGTCCAGCCCTGCCCATCTTTCCACGTCCCTCCCGCCCTCATTCGGACCCTCACCTGTGATGTGCAGCAGCTGCAGCTGCCCGCCCTGGCCCCCCAGAAGCAGCGGCCTTGGGTAGCCGGGGCGGGGTGGAGGCAGCAGCCGGGCCAGCAGGGGAGCGGAGGGAAGGCTGTGGTCCCATTTCAGCATGGGCACCAAGGGGAGACGCTCATCCATCAGATAGAGCGAGAACTAGGGGACCAAGAAGGAANGCCGGCCGAGTGGCTCAGTTGGTTAAGAGTTCATTCAAGAGTGTGAGCTCTGAGCAACAGGGTCATCGGTTTGATTCATGGCCCGAGCTGAGCTGCCAACAGCTCAGGCAGGATGGCTCAGCTAAAAAACAAAACAAAAAAACACAAAAGTCCTTTTAGTTTTGTGGCGGTCCAAAATATACTCACTTTATATCAGAGTCCTGAGACTTATTTGTACATAAAAGGTGCATTTGGTTTGGGCCCCTTCATGTTCCCCGCCCCTCCCAGGTAACCTGGCTGTATCTCCTATGACAAAGTCAAGTGGAGAAAGATGTGGAAATTCCTCAAACATGTCACACCTTTCAAATCTCATTCACTGATGAGATCGATACTTGCAGTGGCAGCGGGCGTGTGTTGCGTGTGGGGCTGCCTGAGGGGTGTGCGTCATTCCTGGTTTCCACTTCACGCTCTGCTTGCGTAGAGCTCAGGCTTCCTTGGCTGTGGATGCATCCGTCTGGCCTCTCCAATGGTCAGAGTGTGAGCGCCCTCCTGGTGACACGGGCTCATTTGCTCTTTCAGGACCTACCTGACTTGGAAGATGTTGATGCAGGCGACTTGCTGGAAGACCAGGACAAGGTTATAACCCAAGCATTCCCAGTCAGCATAATGCCAATTTTACTTCCCATCTTGTCACTCACATTGCATCTCCTTAAATTCGAAAGCCAAGTGCTGTTTGTGCTTAGAGCATCATACACCCCCTATAGTTTCACCTTTTGAAAGGAAATGCAGCTGTTAGCTGTTGCTCACTTCTTCCAGGTTTTAGGATTAACCACTTGGGTTTTCTTGAACATATTTTAACTCTGGTTTTTAAAAACTATGTACTTACCTCATTACCTGACATTGTCCTGCCCTTCTGATGTATTTATATGTTCATCCTATGAATATCTAAACTAGAGCAACACAGAGAGAGGGAAGGAAAGATGGGGGGAGGAGTGTATGAGGCACAATGGGGGAGTTCTCCCAATGTGATCTGACCCTCCTCCCCCCAGCATTACTGAGCATTCGTGTCTGCCAGACCCAGGCCCTTAGGGAGAGGGAAGTGTAAGACTACCTGTGTTCACCATTGAGGGGTGGAACAGACACAAGACCAGTTCCCATGGGGCCTGACCTCCACAGGGACTAAGTCCAGGTGGCGGGTTAGGCTTATGCCAGCCTGAGGCCAAGGCTCAGAGATGAGCCCATTCAGGACCCCGGGAGGGTGTTGGTGTAGCCAGAACAGAGTGGGCAGGGGCAGTGCGGCGTGGAGACCCGGCAGAGGGTGGGAAAGGAGTGTAGACATGACTGTAGAGCTCGCCATGACTTTGGGGCTCAGAAACAGCTGGCCAAGGGTGTCCGTCCCGAGGCCCAACTTTCCAAGGACAGAATGCTCTACTCCCTTGGGTCTTTCTTGTACA